GCAGGAGAACTGCTTGAGGTCAGGAGTTCAAGGCCAGCCTGGGCAACACAGTGAGAGCTTGTTTCAAAACAAAAGTAGGTAAAATAACCCCATAAATTTGTGGGGCTGGAAATGTAACTCGGGGGTGACAGAACACATGCATAGCATGGGTGGGACCCTGGGCTTCACCCCCAGCACCATACACACACACACACCCCACACACCTACCTGCACACCCACTGAGGTATTATGTGTTTCTTCACTAACATGTTAAAAATATGTAGCAGCAGGGCAAGTAATAGTTTTGAAAATAAAATGAACATCGATAATGCTTGGAGATACTGGCAACAACGGTGAAGTAATATATTCCGTTTCCCCTGGTGGTGACGACATAGGTGCTGCCAGCGTCACCACAGTTTGTCCTCTTCATTTATAACGGGGGGCTATCCTAAGCTCCAGTGAGAAGCTAGTGAAAATAAAGTGCAACTTTTTGCCATTTACGTTCATGGAGCCTTTGAGTTCTAACTGTGGATCTCACAAGGTTAAGAACTATTGTAATATAGGTTTAGTTGGCCTTCACATTTGTGTGTATATGTTGTTCTTTTGTTTCAGGAGTGGTGACAGGAATCCAACCGGGGCCTTGCGCATGCCAGGCAAGCTTTCTTCCACTAAGCTACATGCCTGTTCCTCTCTGAGGCTTCATTTCCTGGATATCTGTTTGAACTCATTTCATGCATCTTGTGGCTTTCCGCTATTGATTGTTCATAGTTTCTCTATGTATTTTAAAATAATCATCTGGGCTGGGGAGAGAGCTCAGGGGTCTAAGCGTCAGCCTGGCAAGCGAAAGGACCCAAGCTTGATCTCTGGGACCACATGCTGTTGTGGGCCCCAGAACCACAGGCACTCCATGCCAGCCTGGAAACTGCAAGGTGAGGGGAGGAGGCTGCAGAAAGAGCCTGGCACAAGCCTGAGGCAGATGGAGGGCTTCAGAAATCCTGCCTGGGGCCGACCCATCCTTGCCAACAGTGAGTCCTTTGCACAGAAATGGCTTAGGCCTCCGTGTGGCGGTTAGGCTTGAGCACCAGAGCAGATCAGAGCACTGGGTCTGGACCCACAACTTCCAGACACCTGGAAGGAAAGACTTGTGGGTGGGAGTGGGGAGCCACTGCCTCACTCCCTGCAAAGTCATGTGGGGGCTGGGAATGGTCACAGAAAACTGGGGTAACATCTTCCTAAAACATGGAAGAGGAAACTTGTGGAAATCATACTGTGAGCACCATTTCAGAATGAATTATTAGTAGGCTCATGAAAACTCAGGAGATAAAAAGGGGGCTAGGAAGAGTGGGCAGCAGGCTTACCCGGAAGAGGACTTTGCACGCAACCCTTCTGTCTTTTGGATCAGGTAACTACTTTCAAGGATATAGTAGTTCTCAAACGTGAATTATTTTTCATTTTTTAATATTTTATATAGAGTCTGCGGGGTACAGGGTCTACAGGGACTCACGTGTAGATCAGACTCGTAGTGAGTCTCCTGTTTTCAGCCTCCCATGTGCTGGGATTACAGGTGTGCACCACCACGCCCAGTCTCAGTCACCGTCTCAGTGAGCCCCAGAGGCGGGGCCAGCACGGCATACTGGGGATCCAACCCCCAGCCCCTGTGTCTGCCTAACTAGGCACTTTAATTTGCTGAGCTATTTGGCCGGCCCTTGAATTATTTTTCAATAAACAGATCGCCAGGCCTTTCCTCTGGAAATTCTGATTTAGTGCATTATGTTTCAGACTTAAGGATTTTTCTAAAAATGCACCAGGGAATCCTAGTGTTGCCTCTCAACTTCTGCATCACCTTGGCAAAGGCCTTTCCTGGAGACCTGGACCCGCGTCCTGCTCTGCCACTGCAGGATGTCTCCTAATGGCCGGGCCTCGCTTTTCTACATTTAAATAAAGAAGCCGAAGCACACACTGAAGAAGAAATGTAGAGAGGAGAGCAACAGTCACCCGACTCCAGAGGGCTCTCCCAGAAGGCCGGGGGCCTCTCCCCGGGCTCTTGTCTCCAGAGTACTCGGCAGGACGAAGAGAATGCGGAAAGTTGCTCACCGGGTACCAGCTCAGAAACGAAGGAGAAGGCTGCAGTGAGAGCCAAGCTAGGGGGACAAATGCAACAGTAGGTGGACGGGAAGGCCCAGGAACTGCTTAGGATTTACTGGGGCAGCAGGTGACCGGATGCTCTGGGGCTCTCAGAAAAGCAGTAACACTCCAGAACGGCAGAAACAGCAGCCCCGGAGACTGAGGTGTAGCCTGACGCCTCGCAGGGCGGTCGGCGAGTTTACCAGGTGTCCGACAATCTATGCTGGAAACATTTTGTGGGACTGCCGTGCTAGAAGGGTCTCCTGAGCCCAGTTATCATAACATTGCCATTGGACAGATGAAGAAAAGGAGGTGCAGAGAATCGGCCCACGGTCACCTGGCTGGCCTGTGACAGCCAAGGCTACATCCTGGCGTCTCAGTTCGCCACCTGGTACTCTTCTCTTCCAACATCATGTGTATGCCATCCTGGCTCTCTGCTCTAAGAGGTGTGTGGAGGAGGAAGTGACTGGGCCAAAGTCATCATTCGGCTATGTCAAACTGGATACTGAACTCAACTTGATATGACCTTTTTTGTTAATGAATCACCTAGCACAATGGTTCCAAATTCATTGTATTGAATGAACTGTTTCTGAAACCACTAAAGCAGGATTGCAGTAAGACTGGGCAGCTTGGTGGCGGTGACACAGAGAAAAACCCAAAGCTCTGGGCTACATCCAATGTGGGCTTCGGGGGCCCTACTGAAGGCAGTGCCCCATGTGGGCTGAGGCACTCGCAGCAACTCTTGGGCTCTAAGTAATGTTCTGGGGCCAACAGTGTCACCCTAAATAGGGCATGTAGTTTTAGCAACTGTCATTGTGTGGGCTAAGTAGGTGAGACCGCCTGTGGATTTAGTACCCCGAACTAGAACATTTTCACAGGCCTGTGGGCTGATGACCCTCCTGGACGGGAAGCCTGAGGCGCTTGGTGAAAAGTCTCTGTGCAGGAGGCAGAACTGGAAGCCACTGTGGGGTCAGCACACTGTGGTGATGCGCTGGGGTCAGGCGGCTGCTGCCTTGGGTCTCCTCTGCAGCCCCATAGGCCTGAGAGCAACGCCCAAGGAGGTTCTCCTTAGCAGGCAGCAACCAAAACTGCGGGTGGATCGACAAGCCTGGCAACAGTCACACAGCCCCCTCCTCAGAATAAATTCAGTAACAGGGTTGCCAGCTACATGGGAGCAATTTCCACAAGATAGACTTTGAGGTATGTAGGATGGAGAGTTTATTGGCGTGTGAAATGGAAAGATAAACAATACACACATCACTTAAGGGAGCGATGGTGTGGAAAGGCCCAATACTGCAATATGGACTGCTTTGATCTGAGCACACAAAACCCGAACGACAGCAGGGTACCTTTTGCTTTAAGATGTCCACTGGCGTCTGATGGGCCTTTAGCTTCTTGTTTTTAAGAAGCACTTTCCTCCTAAGCTGGTCAGGTGAGGGAAGCATTGGATCATCTGAGAAATCAGTTTCAAATAAGAATTTAGCCACCAGCTTTTCTCTAAACACAGTCTAAAAATAACACAGGAAAACACATAATCAATACTTGACCAGTACATTTTTTATTTCATAAGTCTGTTCAACTTTTCAGCCTGGTTGAATTGTTTTAAAAATTCCAGGAAGAGGAACTAGGAAGGAAGTTCTTTATGCTCTATAGCTTCTTCCTGGAAGGAAGGGAGGTGTCTACTACGGAGGAGACATCTAGGCTACTCTGTTGCTGGGGCAGATCTAAAGATTTAGGAAACTGTTTGGGAGCCTGAGGCATTAAAGAAGACAGAGATTCCTCTAGAGGTTGTGGCTTGTAGAATATGGTCTGTTTCCTCTGCGGCTGAGGAATCAAGAAAGATGGAAACCTTGGGGGGCTGAAGTAGGGCCAAAGGTGAAAGACAGCAGGGAGCATTTGTCCCCACACACGATAAAGAACCACATTCTCACAAAGAGCTCTCAGCACTGGCTCCAGAGCAGAATGTGTCTCTCAAGGAGGTGGGCGGGAGGAGGGGAGACATAGGATGATCAACTGGGTAAAGACAGAAGATACAGCCATTTCTAAAGTTATTTTTGAAATAAGAACAGCATCAAGGCTTATGCCAAGCCAATGTGAACAGCTTAAATTTTGTGGGCATTTATAGTGGGGAACACTTTCCTCTGCCTTACACTGAAAGCAAAGCTTCCACAAATGCCTATATTAATGAGGAAGGAGGAGTTTAATGAAATATCTGCTGCTAAATCTGTCTGCATTTTCTATCCTTTATATAATGAAGGTTGGTGCTAACATAGCAACTGTTCAGTTCAATCTACACCTTACTAACCTGGATTTATATCACACTGATTCACAGGAACATCTAACTTACTTGCTTTGCAATATTTTTGTATTTTCTACATAAAGCTCCCAGAATAGCTGGCATCCCTCACTTGTGTACCAGTTGGGGAGCTGGTCTGTCCTCTCCTCCTGAGGATTTCTGGAGTTAGGAGACTGTAGAACAATGCTTACGTCACTCCAGCTGAAAAGAGGTACCATTCCAGAAGTGGCCCAACATCCCATAGAAGCATTATTTCTAGTCTGTGGGCCCTAACCCTATGGGCTTCAGGGCCAAATTGCAGCTGTAATGTGGCCTAAAATAGCCTCATACAAAACTGAAAGACAAGATGCCATTCCTTCTCTCAGGTGGGAGCTCACCTTGAAAATTTCTGCCATTTTTCGTTGCTGAGGCAATGAACAGTGGTTCTCAATTGATATGATGATTGGCAGGTCGGAGGTGACAAAGGCGCTGCGGTCAATGGCTTCCACCACTTCCTAAGGTAGCCCAAACAGCTCGTTAGCGTCAGGTATCTGTCAGCATGGTGAGAAGGCGGGGTGCGCATGGCCCCTGAGAGCACCTCAACTGTTTCAGTCAAGTCTCTTGTCAAAGGTTGTTTTATCTTTCCAAGCATGTAGTTGTCCCTCGGTGCATGCGTATGGGGATTTATTCCAAGGCCCCCAGGGACAATGAAATCTATGCAATACTGAGATCCTTATATAAAATGGCATGGTATTTCTATATAATTTGTGCACATCCTCACATATACTTTAAGCAATCTCTAGATTAATGTTTAATTCAATGTGAATGCTACATAATTTGAAGCAATAAGACATATATCCCATCTCATACTTCCACCAACAGATAGTACAAGAGTTTTGATTGCTGAATAGGAAAATGAGTAAAAGAAAATATACATTTGAGCCCTAGCTCTTTGTATAAAATGAAAATAATATTCCTTCCTAACTTGACTATAGGAAGATCTAAGTCCCTTTAAATGAGTAATAATCTTACAACTGAACTAATAAGCCACTTAGAGTTTGAAATAATTCCACGAGACACATCTTCCTGTGTCACTACGTGGAGCTCATTCCTACTCAACCTTGTGTGTAACTCACATTCATTACTGCACAATGCTAATTATTTAGTCTTACATGTAATACTGGTCTTTGTCAGTAGGATATCAGAAAAAATGACTTCTAATTGCTTTAGAAGGAGACCAGTTCATGGACTTTTTAGATCATGATATCAGGCAAAAACTGCAATCAGATCATTATATCCCAAGTAACATAAGGTAAGTGGTTACTAAACTTCCATTGAATAAGAGTTTAATGAAAGTTCTAGAATCAACGCAAAGAAAAGGGCATGTGCTATCCCGCATTACACTGAAAATACTTTCAAGAACTTTTCAGATTCAGCATAAGAAGTCCTGATCAATAGCAGAATTTGGTAAAGTGACTAATTTAAATGACAAATGAAGACAATGTCCTTTGTGGTATGATTGGACAGTATTATAGACAATTAATTTAGGTAGAAATCAGTACACAGTCAGAGGGATTGGGCTCCCGGGAAGTCAGCACAGAAGGTGAGACACCCCAAGACTGTGGCTGGGGTGAATCTCAAGAGAGCCAGGCCCCAAAAGCAAGTGCAAAAGCCCGGCCTGCGAGCTTGCCTAGAGATAACTGCAGTGTGAGACTGTACGGTCGTGAGCACCAGCTGGCCCAGTGAGCCCACCCAAGCATCAGGCACAGAGGCAGGTGGCAGAACACCCAGACCCACATGCCCATGCCTTTCCAGAGATGCCTCTGCTCTTTCTGTGTGCCCTTGCTGTGTGGCCCGTTTTCCTGTTAGCTATGGGACTAAGATCGCTTGTAGTTTGATCCGTGTTGTATCCGTGTTGCGATTTTGCTGTACAAGTTACCCTCGACAGAGCGTCTCCATGGCTCCATTCAGGACTCCTTCTGGAAATCCAGGAGCTATTCTTATTTACAGTGGAACTGTCCTAACTTCCTCGTTTGGTCCGAGACTTCGTGCCTCAAAGAGGAATGAACTTGGCACGTGGACTTGGCACACTGGGCCTCTAGCAAGGTGGGCATGGCTGCACCATCGCAGGGGAGTGCTGCGTTACCTTGAAGGGGATCTTTGTTGTGAGCGTATGTCCATGATAAATGATGGGCATGCCATCGTCTCCGTCCCAGCAGTCCAGCTCTATGCTCCTGCAGCCTTGCAAGAGGACCTGCGTGACCATGGATAAATCAACTTCAGCTGAACGCCTGGAGATGAAGCTTCTAACAGAATCCAGCACAAAGCTCTGCACATCTACATTCAGGTATAAGGCTAAAGATCTAAAATAAGCATTTTATTTTGGCTAAATGCCACAATTACTTTGGGGTGGCAAAAGGAAAGAATAGTTTCTGTTTTTTTGCACTGGGGATTGAACTCAGGGCCTTGAGCTTGCCAGGAAAGTGCTTACACCACTGAGCTATTTCCCTGGCTGATAGAAAAGAATAGATTAAGGTGAAAAAGAGTGTTTACCAAAAAAGAAAAGAAAAGAGTGTTTACCAGAGAGGACTATTGCTAGAAGGTAAAATCAATCAATCTATCTATCTATCCGTCCATCTGTCCATCCATTGGAGCAGCCTCTTTACCATAGACTTTATCTGTAGTTTAATTTAAAAATTATCACATAAGCAGGGTATAGTGGCACAGCCCTGTAATCCCAGTACTCTGGGTGGCTGAGATGGCAAGTTTGAGTTTAGCATGGACATTTTAGCAACTTAGTAAGACCCTGTCTCAAAATAAAAAATAAAAAACAGCTAGGAATGTAGGTCAGTGTGAAAGCTCTGGGTTCAATCCTCAGTATCAGGGGGAAAAATGCAGATTATATATATATATATATATGTACATCTAAGTACATATATATATATATATATCTGTATACGTCTATAAACCTGTTGTGTGTATTTTTATATACAACTTTCATTTCTGTTCCATAGGACAACAAATTTCACCTTTATAATTTTTTTAAGGTGTTTGGTACAGGGTCTCACTACGCAGCCTGGATTTGTAGCGATCCTCCTGTTTTAGCCACCCCCGCACTGGGATTACAGGTAGACCCCACCATGCCCAGTCTTGGGGGCCAGCTCAGGGCACCCCGGCGGGGCTGGCATGGCATTCAGCACCAGGGATTGAACTGGGTCCTTGCGCTCACCTAGGCAGGCGCTTAGTCTGCTGAGCTATCTCCACGGTCCCAGAACAATAAATTTCAAACTTCATTTGGCTTGGATTTCTCTGAAAACAGAAGGCCAATATGTAAAGCAAAGACGGGGCAAGGTACTGACCCGTCCTACTTTATGGCTCTTTTTCTTGAAGTTGAAGTCCTGACAGATTCCTTTCTTGAAAACCATTACCCTAAGAATGCACTTTCATTTCATAATAAAGCTTCCTTAGAAAACAAGTTTTCAAAACATTTTTGTTTATGTTTTAAGACAGGGTCTTGCTATGTCCTTCAGGCTGACCTTGACTTTGCTTATATAGTCTAGGCTGGCCTTGAACTCACAAGGATCCTTCTGCCTCAGCTTCCCAAGTGCTGCGATTACAGGCATGTGCCACCACACCTGGTGAAAAGAAAGCTTAAAATATATTTTCCATTCTAAAGGGCTGGCAAGATAGCTCAGCAGACTAGTGCCTGCTTTGGCAAGCACAGGGACCAGGGTTCAATCCCCGGTGAATGAGTCCGGGTGTGTGGTGCATGCCTGTAATCTCAATGCTGGGGAGGCTGTAAACAGAAGGATCACTGTGAGTCCGAGCTGGGTAGTAAGACCCTGTACCAAATACATAATTAAAAATATATATATAATACATATATGTTATGGTGTGTTTCTAGGTGTCCCCCTAAAGCCTCATGCAGTCTTGGGGTGACTTCTGGAGTTTGTGATTGATTACTGTGGGGTGGCTGCTGCACCCGCCCTGGGGCAGGTAGTTTGCATTACAGTGTAAGGAGGGAAGAGAAGCCCGCTGCTTGAGCTGCTGCTGCCCCTCCCTTGCGCTCTTGCTCTTTGCCGCCGCCATGAAAGGTTGCTTTCTGCTGTGTGCTGCTCTGCACTGGACCCAGCTGAGTAGGGACGGAAGCCTCCAGTAACTGTGAGCTAAATAAACCTTTCCTGCCTTCATTTTGAGTGTCGGGTATTTGTCCTGGCACCGAGAGAGAAGAGTAGCTAAGACAATATACATACATATTTCATGCTAAATAAACTTTAGGACAAAAATGTATCTCATGCCGTGAGGAATGTCTGGACTGAGCTAAGAAGAGAGCAACCTCACCGCTGCTGGGTTGTGTACACAACGCGCTTAAAGCTTGCAGCTCTGTACGCCTGCGCACACACACACACTTGCATTTTCTGGGCCTAGCCTAGCTCCCTCCTGATTAACCCCTTTTGTAAGAATTCATGAAACAGGCAGCATTGAAAGAAAGTCGCAGACAGTACAACAGGAAGGCCACACACGCATGGCCGAGAGTCAGATGTTTAAGTCAGAAGGATGTGCTCTTCCCAGCCTGGACAGCCCGCTCTGTCAGAGACCCTTCCCATAAATTTCCTGTGGACAGATAGTGCCTTCAGTCTTAACAAACAGACGGGGCCTTAACAGATTGTAAAGCAAAACAAGTAACATTTTGGGATAAGAAAGTTGTATTTTCTACTATACTTTCCCACTACAATATATTGATTTATTTAGCATTTAGTGAAACGATTAGATAATTTTCTCATGGGAAAATCTAATTTTAGCAGTACTAGGTCAGAGTAGGATCTAAAAGCTATGAGTCTCAAACAAATGATTTTTCCTCTGTAGAATAAAGTGTGAGTATAGATAGCGGGCAAAGCAAAACAAGCAAGTACAGAAAACAACCGCTACGCGTGCGGTCAGCTCTTCCACACGTTGCAGCTCCTCACGTTTCACAGGCTATCACCGAGCAAGTGCTCACGTTTCACAGGCTATCACCGAGCAAGTGCTTCAAAGCTCGGGTCAGAATTTTGTAACTTTGGGGTTATATAAATGATAAAATTTAATCACAACTACATTCCAGGGCTGGCCAGATAGCTCAGAGGATTAAAGGGCCTGCTTAGGCAGATGCAGGGACTGGGGTTCCATTCCCAGCATGCAGTACCAGCCCCCCACGGGGGTGGGGGGTTGGGAGAAGCTGAGATGGAGAAAGAGACTGGGCATCGCTCGGGAGGCTGAAAACAGGAGAATCACTACTAATCCGATCTACTACACAGGGAGACCCTGTAGACCCTGTACTAAATGCGTGGAAACAAACAAACGAACAAACAAGAAACACCCCAAAGCCCCAAACAAAACACATTCCAACTGGCACTCTCAGTACCTGGCTGTAGAGTTCCACCGAGGATTCTCCCTTGAGCTGGTGGCCCGTGAGGTAGGTATTGTGGGAAGATTCAATGTAATAGTAGGAGAGGGGCAGCTGCAATTCTTTAACGTTCTCCTGTGATTCATCATTTTTTGAAGCAAAATTATCTTTATCCATCAGAAACCTAGATAAAACACATTTTCTGAGGATCTCATAGAGCCATGTGCACTCTTAACCTACAGGCAAAAGATAATTTAAAAGTTACCTCGCAAAACCTTCAAATGACATTAGACCCTGATGACACATACTGATGTTGGGCTCGAACTTCTGCAAAGAATTAAAAAAAAAAAGTTATTTAGATGAAGGAAACTAAGAGGGGAAAAAACTACCACATCATTTATTAAAGTAGTTCTGTTTTCATCAGGAAACATCTCTGCCAAATATTTGAACTAATTTAGCAATGGAGCAGTAAGATATAGTTTTTAGACCAAAAGAAAACATTTATTGCATGTGACTTTATTATGCTAAGCATATTTGCTTAGGAGAAAAATCAGGAGCAAGAGAAATGAGCAAGGCTGATTTACAAGGAAACAACATCTACCATTTATCTTTGGAAAATGTGGAGGCTAAGAGCAGCTACTGTGACACTGGTGGGACGCGAGGAGGGTGACTCTGGTGGGACGCGAGGAGGGTGACACTGGTGGGACGCGAGGAGGGTGACACTGGTGGGACGCCAAGAGGGAGACCCTGGTGGGACGCGAGCAGGGTGACACTGGTGGGACACGAGCAGGGTGACACTGGTGGGACGCGAGCAGGGAGACCCTGGTGGGACGCCAAGAGGGTGACACTGGTGGGACGTGAGGAGGGTGACACTGGTGGGACGCGAGGAGGGAGACCCTGGTGGGACGCCAAGAGGGAGACCCTGGTGGGACGCGAGCAGGGTGACACTGGTGGGACGCCAAGAGGGCGATTCGCGCACAGCCTGGCGTCCGAGCCTGGGGTCCTCAGCAGCGCGACACTCTCACCTTGCAGGTGACCAGACCCAGCTGCTGACAGCTCGGCCTTGTTCCCAGCCGGGGGACACAGCCGGCC